ATATGAGATAGACTCATTACATGCAAAGCAAGATAATTCAAACCGTGATTTGTCATAATTGTGATGATTATGGCTTACAGCTCATGAAAACCCCAAGAACCCCAAATCCACAACCTCAGAAAATTAGAATATTACATGCAATCAATAAAACAAGGATTGTACATAGAACAATATTGGACCTCTGAAAAGTACAAGCATGCATATGTACTCAGTACTTGGTTTGGGCCCCTTTTGCAGCACTTACTGCAATTACTTTTGCACGATATTCTAATTATTCGAGTTTCACCTGTATGTGTATGGAGACGCAGGAACTGTGCACCCTCATGCTGCTTTCCACAGCCGCGCACAGACGGTGTAAGTCCTCGGATGCAGACATGATGGATTCAGGTCCGTACACGGCCTGTGAGCAGCTGTCAAAACTTGGTGCTGCGGGAAGCAGTGTGAGGATGCACAGCTCCTGCATCGCCATAGAGTTGAATGAGCTGCCCACACGCATCTTCCCGCAGCTCCAGACCGGACCCTGTACAGGGCAACACGCCCCGTGTGAATGAGGCCAAAGGATAAGCTAAAATGAATTGCACTTGTGTAGACCAAGTTAAAGCTCACCCCATTCCTTCATCTGGGTAGGGTTTATAGTCCGCCAATGGCAAATTATATTTCTTGGCAGCAGCTGCCATTTCTTCTGGTGTCTTGGGATAAGGTCCAGGCATAAGATGAGAGGGAAGATCATGAGCTGAAGCAAAAAGCAGAACAAGTGTTAGGATTTAAACAAACCAAATATACATCCAGAGGCATTAGGGTATTGCTGTTGTAAACACTACAAACTTTACCTTATTCTGGGTCTCAGACTATTCTATGATTTAGCAAGAATATAGGCGCTAATTAAGATGAAACATTAAAGTGACACTAAACATAGGAGGTCAATCTAAGCCCTCGTTCACACCTGAACGTTTTGCAGCGCGTTCTACACTCGACGAACGCTCAAAAATATAAATCCCATTGTATTCAATGGTCTCGTACCCACCTTGGCGTATTTCCGCCCATCCCTAACGCGCTACAAAACGGCCCACGCCTGAAAAGGTACAGGTACTACTTTGGGCCGTTTTGTTGCGTGTTTCCATTGGGATACAGCCAAGTAGTCTTCGGAAACGCGTGTTTGTCGCGCGACTTTTACCACGAATCGCGGTAAAAGACGCGCATATGCAATACGCCTAGGTGTGAACGAGACCTTAAAAATACATTCAAGAACCTTAACTATTATTAAAAATGTATCTTATTTGTGTATCACTCGGCTGTAGATCCTCAAAATCATCTCTGAATTTGTGCTGACACTGTCCTTCCTTCTGGAGGGTGGCTACTTTTCTTCCCCATGGTTCTTGTGTGTGTTGTATAGTAGTCACCGCTCCAAGCTCACTCCTGTGATGGACTACAATCTCAATATAACCTATATAACTAAACATGAGATTGTAGTCCATCATGGGAGCGCGCTTGGAGCGGTGTCTACTTTACAATACACACAGGGACCATGGGGAACAAAAGCAGCCCCCCTCCAGAAGGAAGGACAGTATCAGCACAAATTCAGAGATGATTTGAGGATCTACAGCTGACTGATACACACGGTTCAGTATTGTTAAAGGAGAACTATGAGATGAGTGATTTCCACTCACCTCATAGTTCTAGCCGACCTGTGACAATGAGACTATCACAAATCAGCTCAGTAGATCGGGGGAGGGGCTGGATTCCCTCTCCCCGCTCCGATCTGCCAGCGCTGACTGGCGGAACAGACGGGGGAGGGGGCGGGTACAGCTGGCTCTGCCTCTAGATAGGCAGAGCCAGCTGTCACTCACACAGCTGGGCAGATCCCGCCAGCTACGTCGGGATCCGCTCCGGCTGTAGCTCGCGGTATACTGAGCTTAGGGTAACGGGAGGACGCTGGTTTGTGTCCTCCCGTTACCCTAAGGAGAACTATGGGGAAAACCACTGACCCCATAGTTCTCCTTTAGTGTCACTTTAATAACCAAGCAAGAATTGCAATAAATCAGATAAATAACACTTTACCCAACTGCACACCCAATTTAGGGGCTGAGCTCTTCTGGCACATGCCAGGGGAAAAAATTCTTAACCTTACAGTGGGGCTCTCCCAACACAGCAAGGGTTAAAAGAGAACTATGGGGTAAGTATTTTACTTACCTGATACCCCC